GGAGGCAGAGTCAGGTGCCCAAGTAGCTCAAAGAGCCTGGACAACGGGCAGCAGAAGGGGTGAAGTTACAAGGACTAGATCCTGTGGATTTTCCTAGGCTGGCTCTGGATACTTTGTCTCTGTGTGTGTGTGTGTGAGAGAGAGAGAGAGATGCACAGTTCAGTGTTTTGGTAATTCTGCACCTGCAGTACAAGTGGGCTTTGAGGACTCTGCCCCCCACCCCCCACCCCTGGATAACCATTTTAGTGCCAAGGCCCGAGGCTTATTCAGCTTTGTGACCCTGAAGTTACAGGTTCTGGCCCATCCTGGGCCTCAGAACACACATCTCCTGTGAATAGTTTCTAAAGATCAAGAGAAAAGCTTGTCCTTTCTGCCCTTTTTTCCAAGTTGGGGTCAAGGCTTTGAGTAGAGGATAGAGGCAGGGTAAGAGTTGTCTTTTATGGGGGAGCAAGGGGTGAATTAGGGAGCTCTGGTAGCCTAGTGGTAAGAAGCTGCAGTGCCAACACAAAGGCATGTGGTTCAAATCCGTTCAGCTGCTCTGTAGGAGAAAGATGGGCAGTCTTCCAGCACATGATTTACAGCCTCTGTAAACCCGCTATGGGTCAGCGCTGAGTAGGTTTCTACTCAAAAACATAACAAGAACAAGACGTGAATCATGAATCAGTAGGGGAGATGGCAGGTAGCTTGGAGCGGAGAAAAGACGGGTAGTTTGGCCCAGCCTATAGCTCTGTTCTGCTCCTGCCTTGGGAAGACCATTTCGTCTTTACTCATGTGTCACCTCACTTGAGACCCACTGAGTCCTGGCGGAAGGTCTGTTCGCTCCATCTCCTGAGAAGGAATCGAGGCCTTTGAATTAGGGAGCTGATGAAGAATATTGAATGCACCATGGACTACCAGAAGAACAGACAAATCTGTCTTGGAAGTACAGCCAGAATGCTCTTAGAAACAAACTAGTAAGACGTTGTCTTAGATGTTTGGTCATGTTGGGAAGAGCCAGCCCCTGGAGAAGGACTTCACACTTGGTCAAGTAGAGGATCAGTAGAAAAGAGAAAGACCCTTAACAAGACTGCTTGACACAGTGGCGATTACAGTGGACACAGGTGGCAGTGACAGGAGGAGGGTCAGGACCAGGCAACATTTTGATCCCTTGTGCACAGGGTTGCTCTGAGTTGATGACATCTAACAATAATATCAACACAAATGAGAAGGAAGCCAAGAGAGATTAAGACACTTGAGTTGGTGCTCCAACTCAGACCTCCCAAGAAAACCCACCCACCTCCCCCTGCTCCAGCCTCTCAGCTCCACAGCCTCTCTCTTCTCGCCTTGCCTCATTTCCCTTTTCTCACTGAGTCATGTTCTGGGTCCCTGGCCCTCTCCATCTCTGAACCTCTTTTTCAGAAATGTAACCTAGGGCTCTCCCTCTGCTCTCTCTTTCATTTCATGTCTCATCCCCAACACACTGTCTCCTGTCCTCTCTTCTCTCCCCAGAGTTGTGAAGGGTAGAAATCTGTGTTCTGGTGTCCCTGTGTTCTGAGGTTTCAGGCCCTGGGGTTCTTATACTCAACAACAGAAGAAGAGGATCCACGGGTTCTGTTAGATTCTGGGGTGAGGAGTGTCTGATTCTGACACTCTGATAACATCTTTCAATGTCCTTCAACTTCCACTTTGGACATTAAAATATCTTTCTATACCTAGGAGACCATGCTTAGCAAGTTCAGAGTATATTTTTCTGGAAAATGAAAAGAGTAAAATGTGAGGACCTGAGAGAGTACTGCCTGGCCTCTCTGGAATCTTTAAAAAATACAGGTTCCCAGGCCCACCAGACCTGTGAATCAGCACTCCTTGAATAGGGCCCCAGGAATCTGCACTGTAGCAGTTCCCCAGCACAGTGTGTGAACCACAGTAAAGCAGGTGCTATGTGACATCAGGTGCTACGTTCCCTTACTTTCAGTCTTGATGAAAAATGGCATAAAAAGAAGGCTTGAATGTATGCAGTGGACACAGTGACAAGAACCAGCACCCAGGATAACGGGTTATGAGCAGTTGTCTCTTTTCCAAGTTTATCTAATCATATGGCTTTTCATTGTTTATAATTATTCCTCAAATTGGGAAAGCTAGAACTCTGCCTGGAAAAGCATAGACTAGGCTTCAAAATCACTGAGTTCTAGCCTTGGCTTTGCCACAGAGTGTGTGAATTCAGTCCTCTTCGTTTGCTTCCTGATCTGTCTCATAGACTTGCTGTTTGTTGGAGCTCTTGTCTCTCTCATCCTGCACACCTAGTCAGTCATCCATTTCTCTTTGCTTTTGCACCAGTAGACCAGCTTCTGGAAGCTCAGTGTGTTCATGAGATGAAGGTGGGAGCCAGGTGGGGCAGCAGTTGAGAAGTGAGGGGATCCCAGGGGGCCTTATCTCCTCTATCCTTCTTTCCCACCTCTCCAGCCCTGGAGCCCAGGGAGGAAGGGAGGTGGCAGCAGGAGGAGGAGGTGTCACTGCCAGGGTTCTTCTTCTCACCCAAGCTGGCAGAGGGGCGGGACTGGCAATGGTGACACCAGGGCCACTCAGCCCCCGCTTTTCACAGCACTTTCTTTTTTGGGTGGAAGCAATTGAAAGGAGGAAGGGATGAGAAGCTGGGGTTGAGGAGGCAGCTGTAAGACCCCTAACTATCAGCAGCCCATCGGGGTTATAGAGAGCACAACCTGTCTGCCAGATCCATGCACCCAGTCCCACCTGACACTTGGTGGGAAGAGTCAAAGGCAGTGGGATAGACCGCTTCACCTGAGGATTAGGGTGAAAATGACAAGATCGAGAAGCAGGGAGGAAGAAGAATCCTTTTGGCCTTGTACAGTCAAGCACTTTGCAAAAATGTCCCAAAAGAATCAGCTTTCAACAGCCTCATATCTCCAGAGGAAATCAGTCATTCAGGGGAGTCTTTGAGAAACTGCTCATGCTTTCCAAAGAGTAGCCAAGGGTCTCAGCATCACCATCTCTATCAAACAGTGCTGCCTCTCTGAGAACAGCAGGGGAAACTTTTCCTTAAGGCATTGGGGAATGGTGGGTAGAGCACAGGGAGGGGGCTGTCCCCGTGTCTGTTTTTTTGATGTATCAGGTCTCCATCCTCACTGGATTCTCTGATTCTCTCCACCCCCACCACTCCCTGCTCCCAACCCCCCACCACTCTCCCTGGGTCATGCCTGCCTCCTGGGGTCCCCAGCCTCACCTTCACCTGCCAACTTGCCTCTCAGTTCAGCTCTAGTTGGGAGCAGAGAGTCCCCCTGGGGCCCTAAGGGTAAAACCCTGTTGGGCTGGGACAGAAATGTAAAGATGGGGCAGCCCCCAGAGGACAACTGGGAAGTGCTGGGATGAAGAAAGGGTAGGGGAGCCTTGAATTTGATGAAAATTGCAAATCTGATTTCAAAGCACTCTTAAAAATGTAAATCCTTATTTATATATTGGCATGTAAAAAAAATTCCCTGACACCTTGAGTTAAAAAAAAATGCACTGCAAACCAACACGTGTGGTGTTTATACAAAATTACAGATTTGTGTGTGTGCAAAAGACAGAAACAGAAAGTGCACAGGGAGTGTGTCTGGAAGGGGGATCCCCAAAATATTAACACTATTTGCCTCTGACAGGTGGAATTTGGGGTGATTTATACAGTCTTTTTTTAAAAAAAATAAACTTTCTGTGTATGGCTTATATTTTCTGTATGTTTTGTCTTCATACACAGGAAAACTCCCAAGGACGCTGTTTTCACTTGGGGGAAGAAAACATAAAAGGTGGTTTTCATCAGAAAAGCAGTATTACTACAATAGTTAACAGAAAAGGAGAAAAGCACAGTGGCGTCCCAGCGCCGAGAGGCAGCTCTGCACAGCCTGGCGCGAGTTTCCTTCCTGTCACTCCGCTCTGCGCCTTCAGCCTTCGAAGCAGCTTTTCCATCCAGGTATAATTATAGATTGGAAAGTGCTGCACGCAGACACCGTCTCACGTGAGTTCACAGTCCCTCTGAAAAGTAGACCTGTGTATTTCCCGTGTACAGAAAAGGGTGTCTTGCAGACAAGGGAAGTGACTTGGCCAGGTCACAGGCACCTTAATGACAGGCAGAGCTACTTCTGGGCCTGAGCCAGAGGCCCTTCTAGTCAGAACCCATGGCGACTTCCATGACAGGTGGGGTTGATTTTGTGGGCCCAGACCAAACCCAGGGTCCTACAAGCCGGTTGCTGCTAATGGAATCCTCTTTAAGACACGCTTCCTGCTGAAAAGTAGTCAAGAGCCCCCAGCATTACCTCTTTCAAGAACTGCTGTCCTGCCTAGAACAGCAGGCAGGTTCTAGGCTCCAGGTCTACGCAGAGGTTTATGTGACAAGATACATGGGGTCACAGTCCACCTGGACCTCTGGTGCTACAAGGAGGACAAATGCACCACACAAAGTCACTTGGCATGGAGCTGGGTGCACCATAGGGAGCAAGAAACAAATGAAAATCCAGAGTCGCTTCAGGCTCAGAGCCTCTCAGGTGCCCTGAGTCTTCACCTAGGGATCTTGCAGCTGAATCTTCCGAGATGGGCAGAATTCTCCAAGGGTCCAGGGGAAAGAAATGGATTGGCATGTCAGGTGGAGGGGTTGGCACTCCCGGAGCGCGGACTAGAGAGTGCGCGGGCACTCACTGTCCCCCGTGGTGGTCCTCTGGTTGCGGAGAATTTGCTTACTGTTAGCTACGAGGGGGCGGGGAGAGCGGGGCGGGGCCGAGGTGGCCGGGTGGGGGGGCCCCCCGGAGAGCTTCATAAAGCCACAGCAAAGGCGCCGCGACACTAGTGACAGCAGTCCGCCGGAGGGGGAACCGGAGCTGCCGCGAGCCCGCCCGCTTGCCAGACGCGGGCGCAGGACCCAGGCGTCCGAGGTGGGGCCCCCGCCCTGGGGCCCCCGCCCCTACCCCGCGTCCAGACCCTTTCGCCTCCCCCCCTCCCCCCAGCGCGCGTGGAAGAGGACTCGGCTGCACCCTCGACGGCGGTGGGAAGGTGCCCAGCCCGCCCCGGATGGGCATCGTGGAGCCGGGCTGCGGAGACATGCTGACGGGCACTGAGCCCATGCCGGCGAGCGACGAGGGCCGGGCGCCCGGAGCCGACCCGCAGAACCGCTACTTCTACCCGGATCCCGCGGCGCAGGACTCGGCCGACCGGCGCGGGGGCGGCAACCTGGGGGCGCCCTTCGCAGGAGGCGCCCTGGTGCCCACTCCGCCTGGCCGTTTTCTGGGAACCTACGCCTACCCGACTCGACCCCAGACCACTGGCTTCCCCGGCACAGCCGAGCCCTTCCCGCCGCCCGCGGGCGCCGAGAGCTACCAGCCTGGCGACGGCTATGCTGCCCCGGACCCGAGAGCGGGTCTCTACCCGGCGCAGCGCGCAGACTATGCGGTGCCCGCCGGCCTCGAAGTGTCGGGGAAGCTGCGCGTCGCGCTCAACAACCACCTGTTGTGGTCCAAGTTCAACCAGCACCAGACAGAGATGATCATCACCAAGCAGGGCCGGTGAGTGCGTGCGCGCTCCCAGGACCAGTCGCTGCCAAGTGCAGGACGCCCGGGACTCGCAAACAAATGACTTTTTTCGCGCTTTCTCTTTTCTATCTAGACATTGTGAACGTCCTCACGTCCTCTGTAGTTTTGGCTTAAGTTTTCCGAGGTGGGAAGGATTTTGTAGTTCAGACGTGAATGCTCTGGGGTTGTTTTGCCCCCAGGGCAGCCTTCCATCGAGCCTGAGAATTCAAAAGAGAAGTAAGAAAGAGAGAGGTGCCCAGGAGCTGGCTGAGAAGTCATCTTGGTTTAAAAGAGGGGTCCCCCGGGCGCCTTCCCACCGTCTTCTGCCTGGGTTCTGGGTCTGACAGGGCAGGCTGTCTCAGCCCCTCAGTGCGGAAATGGAGGGAGGAGAGGGTCTGCAAGGAGGGGCGATCATCGCCTGGGCTCCCCTTGTCCAGCTTCTTCTGGCCCTTTTGCTGCTGTTGTGTTCTTGTCAGCTTTGGGGTGGAAGAGTACACTGGGATTTGGTGACAGGGAGACGCAGTCGCCAAGTTTCCTTTCCGGTCATACTTTGAGATCATATGTCGCGCATGCGTGTGTGTGTGTGTGTGTGTGTGTGTGTGTGTGTGTGTGTGTGTTTTGGGGGAGGTAAAATGTGAAGGGATCATGGGTTCCCTCTATCTGGAAGGCACAGATGTCCACTTGAGCAGGTGAAGAGAATCCAAGGGATCCGTTGGCCTCCAGCTCCACACACCCCACCCTTGGAAGCCTGCCCCCCAAGCCTGTTCACACCCCTGTCCCCCTAATCCTCAGTGTAAGTCTAGCTCAGGGTAAGTCCCCACAGTTTAGGGGTCCCTTGAGCTCAGTGCATGAGGGGTAAAGTTTGGGGCTTAGGGTGCTGCTTCTGGATAGAGCCTCCTGTGTGGGGAAAGAAAAAGAAACTTGTGACTTGTGTGGTATTTGTTTAGTAAGCAGCCCCCTGAGTGGGCCTGCCTGTGTGGGGGCTTACGTATGTGGGGGAGCACCAGCAAGAACCTCTGTATGGAGGAGCTGTGTCATCAATGGGTCCACAATGGTGGGTCTGAGGACGAGTAGGGTTGACTAACTGGAGAAGAGCTGTCAAGTGTGAGGCCTGTGGAAGGAAACGGAAGAGGTGGTGCTGGGCAGGGATTGTTGCTCAGCATGGACATCTTCCCTCCAGACCATTTCTGTGGGGCAACCTGGATTTACAGTCTGACCCCTGAGCACAGTTTGTTTGTTTTTTGAAGTTGGTGAACCATTTATCTTTTCCTGGGATGAACCTAACGTAATTGGTATTTCCCCCCCCCCCCCTTCTTTTATGGCTCAGTCTTCATCTTCATCTCCTAAAACTTCTGATAATTCCTTTCCACTCCTCCCATCCCTAATCTCCTTCTGGAAGCACTTCTGGTCCCAGTGGGTCTGAACTGGCCTGGCCAAGACCCAGAAGATCTCATCAACCTGTAACTGCACAGACAAGGAAGCAGGCCTAGAAATGGCAAGAAACTTCTAAGGCTCCATAGCATGACCAGTGGTGGCAGGGCTGACACCAGAGTCCAGAGAGTATCTGCCTGGGTCTCTTCCTCCTGTTCTCCCCTCACCCCCCACACTATGGCCACTAGTAAAAACAGTCACCCCTTGAAGGCCTCGATGCATTCAGAGTGCTTTCACTTCCATTATTGCTCTGAGCTTTGGGTAGAGCAGTCAGTCTGCCCGTTTTACAACTGAGAACATTGAGGTGTAGGGATATGTAGCAGTTTGCGCAGGGTCACACAGCCAATGGGGACTCAGACACCTTAACCCACTACTCTATGGTGTGGTTGTGAGGCTTTCTTTAGGGCCTCCCATCCTGGAGCCTGACTGAAGGTCCCCACACGCATAGCCAGGCCTTTGCCCCTTCTGCCCTATCGGATGGGAGCAGACATCAGGCTGAACATCACAGATGTGGCCAGGCTGGGCCAGCTGCCTGCCTGTCTGTCTGTGGACTGTTTAGGGATGTACTTCAGAGGTGTGAGTTTCTAAATGTACATCACTAGCCCAACCTCTAAGGCTTCCTCTCCTTCAGATATTCCTGCTGAATAATCCTCTCTAGAAAGTTCGATCGTCTTTCTTTTGGATCCACACACATACAGTTTTTTATTATGAAAGGTTTCAAACATAGAAAATGTGGAGAGAAAAATATGACGTACCTTCGTGTCCTCATCACCGCTGACAACAATTGTCAACGTCCAGTTTTGTTTCTTTTTTCTGAACCCACTTCCACCTCTTCGGTCTGAGACTACATTAGTAATATTGTAAATATAGTAATGTAATAGTCGTGCTCAACTCGAAGGCAGTCAACAACAATAAGTATTTAGTAAGTGAATCATAGACAGTATATTAATACTGTCTTAAATACCTCTCTAAGCATCTTCAAAAGTAATTTTGTAATTTTTAAAAATATAATATAATAACTCATTGCCCTGAGTTGGAACCAACTCACAGCTGACCCTCAGAGTTTCCAAGACTGTAATTTGTCTGTCTTTTCTCGAAACTTTTGGTGGATTTTAATCGCCAGAGTCTTAGCCATCAAATTAGCTTTTAAGGATTATGCCACCAGAGTTCCCAAGAAATCATAATATTATCACACTTGATAAAAATTCATCAGAAGTCACTAAATACCAAACAAGTTTCCCTGATGGCTTAATCTATGTGTTTGTGTATTTTACAGCCATTACTTTTTCAAATCTGCCCTGAGGGGCTACTTTCAGGAGTTCTGAGGGCATAGTCCTCGGGGAGTTGCGCTGCTAACCCAAAGTCAGTGCCTTTCGGCCAGTTCAAATCCACCAGCAGCTCTGCAGGAGAAACAGAGGCCATCTCTCTCAAAACCTGCTGGAGGGTCAGCTATGAATCAGTTCTGACTAGACAACCATGAGTTTAGTGAGAGGGGATACTTTGGTATCTTGGTATCCCTGTGAGAAGGGGTGAACCCCATGGCATTGAGTTTCAGGGCCCCCCACTGAGGTGGGGGGTATATTGCCCTCAGTCTAGCCTCACCAGCCCCAAATCACCTGGTACGTTCTCAAGTTAAGCTCCAGGGATCGGAGAAGTTAGTGATCATTTCCTCATCTTCTGTGCTTCTAAAAAGGAAGAACTGGGTGCAGAGAAAAGCTCCCCTCAGTTTTACTCCATGATGGACTAGCGTCTCCCTCTGTGGGTTTCAGTGAGCTCCCAGTCACCATCGCAACACCCCTGACCTTCCCTTTTGAAAAATCCTTCCATCAAGACCCACCCACAGCTCCACAGCCTTTCGCCTTGGGCTGACTCACTCCCTCCCAGATTCTTCTTTTCCCACCCACCCTCAACCCATTCCGCGGCTGGACAAGTGACATAGTCACGTATTCAGAAAGAGAGTGGGGTGGGGAGCTTTTGAGGTTCGTGGGTTCAAACACTAATTGAGGCAGCTCAGATGGGGCCAGGAGAGGGAGATTGAGACGGAAACTATAGTTTTGAACCAAGCAGAGACTTTTCATATCTTTAAGCTGGTGTGTTTTTGGAGAATCCAGTCTGACACAGATGTGTGCTGGTGTTTTTGTGTGGCTGTGTATGTGTGTTGTGAATGTGCTGCTGAGTGTTTACTGGTTGATGGTAGACGTTCTCAGTAGAGGAAGAAAGAGGCCCGTTTCTCCTTGTATGTGGGTGTGTGCGAGTGTATTAATTGCTGGCAACCCCCACTTTTCTGGGTGTGATTGGTTGATCATTATAATTAAGATAACTTAGGGTAGCTCTGTTGCTAAATAGCTCAATTTGCTTTTGTATATGTGCTTGTGATGGTGGTGGTGATGAAACAACCATTCAGCCTCACAGGGTCCTTGATGGCCTCACAGCTACTAGTGTTTTTGCCACATTCCAACTCTAAGAACTTTGTAAACCTTTTTTTTAATTTTTTTTAAAATTTTATTATTTTTGTGTGAGTGTACCATCAAATCAGATCTGACTTGTACAGGAGGAGATTGTCCTTCCTTCCCCGGCAGTGCATCTGGTGGATTTGAACCGTGAGCCTCTGTGATTGTAGTTGCAGCTCCTTGCCATTAGACCACCAGAGCTCCCCTTAAGCCTTTAAAAAAAAATAGCCCAAGCCTGCCTCTTATCAGGGCAGACTGGCTTCATTTCTCATGGGGCAGGTGATATCAGCTTTACTTTTTGTTTGGCCATTTGCCAGTAGCCATCTGATTTCTATTGAGTGAGTCTGAGGTTGGTAGGAGAAGGAAATCCCTTAATGCCCAAGCATTTTTCACATTTGGATTGTACATCGCATTGCCCGAACAGCCTCCTGAAAGATGGTACCAATTTACGTAGAACTCCACCAACCGTGCATGAGAAGACCATGGCTCATAGCTTCACTGTGGGTTGCCCTGTCCCCTCACCCATCGATGGTGACCCCATGCATGACAAAGCAGACCTGGTCCATAGGGTGTTTTGGCTACAGTCTTCACGGAAGGAACCCTGCTGGCACAAGTGCTCAGCGGCTAACTGAGGTTGTCAGTTCGAATCTACTTGGTGGCTCCAGGGGAAAGATCAAGTGTTAGTGATAGACTTCCGTAAAGATCACACCCCTGTCATCCGAGGTGCAGTTATTGGTCTGTTCCCATTCGGAGCCAAGAAGAGTGAAGAAAATAAAATACACATGGGACTAATCAGTTCAGAGGACTCATGGACCACTTGACCCTCAGCTTCTATGACCCTGAGGCCAGAAAAACTGGATGGTGCCTAGCTACTGCTGCTGACCACTCTAAAAGAGATCCTGTAGCAGAGCAAAACTCAAAATAACAGTCAAAACGTCAGGCTTACTGATCTGGTCGAGACCCGAAGAACTTCTGAGACATGACTTTCAGTCACCCTTTAACTCTGTAAACCACTCCAATGTCTCAACTCTCAATCAAAGAGTACACAGAATATTATATAGGGTGAACAGAGAGATCTAGTGGTCTAATGGGTAAGGCATTGTGCTGCCACCCCAAAGGCCCAACCTGAAGGCATGAGATTTGAATCCACCAGCCACTCCATGGGAGAAAGATGGGTGATGTCTGGTGTGATTCTTCTGTGTGATTTACAGCCTCTGAAAACCTGTTGGAGGGTCAATTCTGACTCAGTGAGCACACAACAGCAATATAAGGGGAACGTAACATCAAGGACGCATGTACTCACTCCCTAGAACATCTTACCCTCTGAAGTACAGCATTTGTCCAGGACTAAGACTCAGAAGTAGAAGAAGAGCAAATGGAAATGGTAGACACAGGGAAGAAGTGTGAAGAGCATGGCTCCATTCGTGGGGTTGGCAGCCAAGGTCCCAAAACTAAATGTGTGAGTTATGGAAAACTAACTTAGTATGTAAATTCTCACCAAATCACTATAAAATGGAGTTTTTAAAAAGAAAAAAGTTATGCATATAAATAAATAAAATTGTTGTTGTTGTTGTTACATGTTACATGTCACTTGCGACTCATGTACCCTATGATAATAGTCCTGAACCCTGCTCTGTCCTGAGCCAACCTTATTGTCTCTGACACACCTACCCTCATTACCCTAGTCACCGAATCACTTCATCTTATCAAGGGTCTTCCTCTCTTGCACTGTCCCTCCACCCTTCCAAGCACGACATCCCTCTCCAAGGACTGATCTCTTCTTGCAACATGCCCAAAGTATGTCAGATGAAGACTCAGAATCCTTGCCTTCAAGGAACAGCCTGATTACACCCTCTCTACTCTGACACAAAACTGTGCGAGTCAAAATTGCCCGGACGGCACCAGCAGCAGCGGCCTTTACGGAAGCACATCACCAGGCCTTCGCTTCTGCAGAGCTGCTGGGTGTGTTCAAACTGCCAGCTTTTAGGGTGGCAGCAGATTTCACACTTGTGCCACTCTGCCTCCTTCCTTAGTGTTCAGTATTACCAGTCTTTAAACATTTTGCCAGTATGAATGATAAAACCTGATCTCCTTGTTATTTTAATTTGGACTCACTTATCGATGGTGATGTGCACTTGTCCAGGCCTTCAGGATTGGGGAGGGGCGTGATGAACTTGGGAGTCTTCCCAAGGAAGGTTGATCCTTAGGGACAGCAAACAGGGGATTTGAGGTCTTGGACAATGACCCTGTGAAGGTTGTTTTGGGGGGTTTAGTTGGGCACCATACCCATCTCCACTCCCTGCTCCTTCTCAGCAAACTGTTATGTAAAACAGGGGCTATTTTGAGATTCTAGCTGGTGGGATGTCTAGACTTTTAGGATAAAATTGAGACCTCCCTTTTCTCTCTTTCCTCTCCCCTCTTCCTGTGTCTCCTTCATTTCCGCCTGCTACGGTTAGCCCTGCCTCACAGAGACCCTTGCTCGATGGGATCACGTCCCTGTGATCTGTAGAGCTTTCATTGACTGATCCCTGCCCCCCACCCCCAGCTGATTTTTTGTAAGTAGATATCCAGATCTTTCTTCCTAGAGTGTAACAGTCTGGAAACTCTACTCAAACTTTGTCAATATCACAGTCACATTTAAGCCTTCACTGACAGGTGGTTATGCTTGAGGTGAGTGGTTGAGAATCAAACCTGGCTCTTCTGCATGAAAGGTGAGAGTTCTACCTACTCAACCACCGTGGCCCTCATGTCTCCCTCTACTAGATAGCAAAGCAGAATGAGACAAAAGAGACCAGAACATGTGCTCTGCACACATAGGACTGCATATCTGCCCTCTTATCAAGGAGCTGTCCCCCAACCTCCTCTAGTCTCAGTGTCTTCAAGTTTAAAATTAGAAAGAATATTTTGTAACCTCAAGGGACTGCTTTGATGGATTGACTGGTAGATAAGTAAGGAGCCGTAAATGTTTTATTCCTTTCTGTTCCTATGTTTTTTTCAAGTTTTACTAAGAACAGATTATAATATGGAAATGGTTGAGTGACATATGGTCATAGAATGAATTGGTGGTGAAAGTGGGTCAGAAATCTCCTCTTATCTCCTATTGTTCAAGTCCTAACCCTTTGATTTCTCATGTTGACTTGGCCCAGCCAAGTTCCTCATATCCAAGACCTGGAACCCTCTCTCTCAAGGTCTCACCTTCATTCAGGCCAGAGGTTTTGGGTACTCTGAGTCTGGGAAAAGGTTTAGAATAAGGGATGGAGGAAGCATGAACTTAGTCTCATCTGAAACAAGCAAGCTTTAGAAGAAAGATGGACAGGAGTAATCTCCAGTTGTAGGTGAAACAATTGAAGTTTGGTTTGGAAATGAACTTGTCTAAGGTCACTGGACCTTAGTCCAGCAGACTGTGGGGAAGATAAAAATGGGATACCACCCTCCCAGGGGACATTCCCAAGTTTTCTAGGGATATTCTGGGAGACAATATTTGCTCTAAAGTGGGAGCAAACCTCTGTCTCCTCTTACCTTAGATTTCCTGACTCATATAGACCAGAGCATTTATTCTCATTCTACAGTGCTTCTCATAGGAGAAGGAGTAGAGACATGGAAGGGAATGGAAAGTGATTCTGAAGAGGGTTTGATTCAGTCATCCTGAAACCCTGCCTAAGTTAGAAGAGAAGGACTAAGTTCCTGGATCTGACAATAGCTGATGGAGGTGGAGCTGTAGCAATAGTGGTGGTTGTGATGGTGATGATAGTGGAGATGGCAGATGTTGTGATGGTGGTGATGATAGTGGATGTGGTGGTTGCAGTTATGGTCGTGATAGGGGTAGTGTTGCTGATGGAGGTGATTACAGTGACGGCAATGACTGTGCAGATGGGTGATGGTTACAATGATGGCGGAAATGAGGTGAGTGATGATGGAAGTGATGGAGACGGTCTTGGCATGGACATGCCTCTCTCTGGTAGTCCATTCCTTTGGCCTAATGTAGGACATGGGTCTAATGCTGAGCCCTACCCCATAATGTTTTCTACTTTTCTCAGAAACGACATCTATGAGCATGTACCAATAGAGCCCTCTCTGGCATGTGGGAAGTAGAAGTTTATCTACTCTTCTGAAGGCCAAGGCTTAGGAAAGGCCACACTACAGGCACCAGACACTGGATGGGGAAGGGATTGACTGTGGCAGCAGTGAGAGCCGTGGTGGAGGGGATGGACAGAGCACTGAGGCCAGGAGACAGGAGACGGGGTGTGAGGCCCTACTGGTAGCTTTGTAGGGTTGGCTAATGGCTTTGTTCTCTCCTAAAAAACAAATTAAGACAGTGTGTTGCTGCTAAGTGTTTACTAGCCAGCCCTTTGAAAGAAAGAGAAAAAAATGTAATAGCCCAGTTTTGTAATGTTTGCTGATTTCTGTGGTGTAAGTACTTCTACCAGCTGACTTAACCTACCGACGTGGTACCCTTCGTCATTGGGAAGAGATGTACAGTGGCTCGCCGTAGTCATCATTCCACCACACAGACTCCATCGCCAGAAACTCAAGAACAACGTAGACAATAACGAAATAGCGAGGACATAAAGACTGCTGAGTATTTATTACCTTGGTTTTTTAATAGAACTTACTTAATTGTAAATTTATGTAATGTGATTTTTTAAATTAAGGCTGTGTTTGACAACTCACTTGCAAACTTCCTGAGCATTTTACAGCTGGCGCTGGCGAGCGGCTGGAGCTGGGTGCTGACAGGTATTGGTGAGTCTCTCTCTTCTCCCCAGGAGGATGTTCCCATTCCTGTCGTTTACCGTGGCCGGGCTGGAGCCCACCAGCCATTACCGGATGTTTGTGGACGTGGTCTTGGTGGACCAGCACCACTGGCGGTATCAGAGTGGCAAGTGGGTGCAGTGCGGAAAGGCCGAGGGCAGCATGCCAGGTAAGGGGACTCAGGAGCAGGGAGGGAGCTTTGGTTTTGCAAGACAGGGGCGCCCCCTGGTGGATCCAAGAGGACCTCCCCCCAACCCTGACTCAAAACCCAAAGAGCAGAAAGAACCAACTCACAGCTGACCTTCCAGAGGGGTGCGTTTCTTTCTATAGACTGCGTGGGGAGAGATTGTCCATCTTTTCCCCAAGGACTCAGTGGTGAATTCGAACTGCTGGAGGCACCACCTTTAGTTTAGCTCCTTTCACCTCCAGAACTCCCTGACACCGGGAACTTAATTCCCTATTCCACCTCTCACCATTTCATCTTACCTGATTCCTCCTTCTCCTTTTGGTTTCTTGTCTCTTTTCTGCTTTGCTCGAGCCTGCTGTATTAATTCCTAGGGCTGCTGTAGCAAATTAGCACACCCTTGAATGGCTTAAAACAACAGAAATGTGTTGTCTCATGGTTATGAAGTTTGTCTGGGGTCTGGGTTTGTCACAGCCATGCTTCCAGAGCTCTAGGGAGGCTCCTATCTTGCCTCTTTCTTGCCTCTGGAGGCTCTTGGCTGCCCTTGGCAATCCTTGGCTTGTGGTCCATCTTAGCCTTGGCCATCACATGGGGAACCGGCAAGTAGATCAGACCCAGCCCCAACCTAGTGTGACCTCATCTTATCTTGATTACATCTGCAAAGACCTTATTTCCAAATAAGGTCACGTTCATAGACACAGGATCTCAGAGTATTTTTTAGAAGGTTGCAATTAAGCCCACAACACCTGCCTTCTGCCTGCACCTGTTCTCCACACTCCAGCCCCCTCCAGTCCTTCCCTGCAACCTTCTTGACATCCCCTGATAACATCAAGAACAGGCAAAGCCCCACGTCCCACCAGGGGTCTGGTCCTGGGGCTGCATGCCAAAGAGGCTACCTGTCCACAGGAAACCGACTATACATCCACCCTGATTCCCCGAACACTGGAGCCCACTGGATGCGCCAAGAAGTTTCATTTGGGAAATTAAAGCTCACAAACAACAAAGGAGCCTCCAACAATGTGACTCAGGTAAGACCTCACACCCGGAGCCTCTCCTGAAGGAGGGATGAGGTAGAAGAAAGCTACATCTCAGAGAGATAGATGGCCTTAGGCAGACACAAGCCAAGCCATCCTGGGGGCTTTGTCACAGAGTCCCCTTATCCCTAAAACGAAACCCCCCAAAAAAGCCCCTGTTTGTGCTGTTACTCCATTCACAATAGATATGATAGAACTGGTGTCCCAGTGAGTCTCTGGAGTTGGAAGGTCTAGCAGAAGGCATGTGGGTGGTAGGACAAGGGGATAGACAACTTGCCACAGGATGCTTTCCGGCCTTGCCGTGGGAGCCAGGACTGTGGTGATGTCTACAGTCTGCACTCCCAGCTACCAGCTTGCTCTCCTTTCAGATGATCGTCCTTCAGTCCCTACACAAGTACCAGCCCCGGCTGCACATTGTGGAGGTGAATGACAGTGAGCCTGAGGCGGCCTGCAGCGCCTCCAACACCCATATCTTTACTTTCCAAGAAACCCAGTTTATCGCTGTGACTGCCTACCAGAATGCTGAGGTGAGGGCTTCCGGGGCGTGGCCAGAGCTGGGAAGAGGATGGAAAGGGGACCACAGTTTCAGGACCCAATCTACTCTCTTTCTCCTCATTCTAGATCACTCAGCTGAAAATTGATAACAACCCTTTTGCCAAAGGATTCCGGGAGAACTTTGAGTCGTAAGTACCGCGGGGTTCAATGCACCTTTGGAGAGACTTTCTCTTGATCTCTCTTGAGATGGGGACCTCAGTTATGTGCTGGGTTCCTGCCCTAGCTCCAGCGTTGGCTTCCTTTGCTCCTATGGGCTGAGATGGGTGCTAGAGGGTAGGCTGACCAGGTAGGTGGGTCAAGGAAGGGACAGGCAACAGGTAAGCCTATAGCAGGCCGGCTCTGCCTTGACCCCCGTTTTTCTTGCCTCTATTTCTCTAGGATGTACGCATCTGTGGACACCAATGTTCCCTCCCCACCTGGACCCAACTGTCAATTATTTGGGGGAGAACACTACTCTCCTCTCCTACCCAACCAGTATCCTGTTCCCAGCCGGTTTTACCCCGACCTACCTGGTCAGGCCAAGGACGTGGTTCCCCAGCCTTACTGGCTCGGGGGTCCCCGGGACCACAGCTATGAGGCGGAATTCCGAGCAGTCAGCATGAAGCCTGCATTCCTGCCCTCTGCCCCTGCGCCCAACTTACCCTACTACCGCAGTCAGGAGGTCCTGGCACCTGGCACTTCCTGGCCTGTGGCTCCACAGTACCCCCCGAAGATGGGCCCGGCCAGCTGGTTCCGCCCTATGAGAACTCTGCCCATGGAACCTGGCACGGGCAGCTTGGAGGGCCGAGGGCTGGAAGACCAAGGCACCCCATCAGTGTGGACTGAGATCACCTCCATTCGGCCAGAATCCAGTGACTCGGGGCTGGGTGAAGGAGACTCTAAGAGGAGGCGCGTGTCCCCCTACCCTTCCAGTGGTGACAGCTCCTCTCCTGCTGCGGCCCCTTCTCCTTTTGATAAGGAAGCTGAAAGCCAGTTTTATAACTATTTTCCCAATTGAACGGGTGACGTGGTCAAAGGGGTAGTGATGGTAGGCTGGAGGACACCAACTAAGAAAGAGACTGAGGCCGAGAGGCCCCCAGCTCCCTCTGTCCCCTCTCCATATAGTAGGTGGTTGGGTAAGAAAGGATTCAAGGGGGATTCTGGGGCTCACTTGCTGCTTCCTGACCCTTGACCTGTGAGTGGGCATCCCTGCTCCTAACTCTGCCCAACCTACAGTCATTTACTTGGTGCTGCTGCTAGCTTTTGCTTCCCACCCGGACGAGAGAAAACAGAAGAACCAAGTCTTGGACAAGCGGAACATCCTTCCTTCTGACGGGATGGATGGCTCAGGTGGGAGAGGCTGGGGACTGGACTTTCACCTCTCTTTGGCTGTAAAGTGACTTCCAGGAGTGTGTGCTAATCCCTGATCTGAAAAGAAATATTCATGGATTTTCTAACAGTCTGGCTGGCCAGGGTCAGGGAGAAGACTCAGGTGACTTAGGACCATTGGCCTGCCTCCCACCGCCTAACTCTGAGAAATGGGGTTCAGGGGAAGGGTCCCGGATGTGGGAGATGGTGCACAGCCCAAGAAATAAGGTCTTATTTGTGTTGGTTGTAGATGTGCGTGCTTTTACTTTTTTAAAATTTTTTTTTAATAGGGGTGGCTATTTATTGTACAGAGAGTGATGTCTGGATGTGTTTCTTTTGTCTCCATCACTTTCTGAAAATAAACATGAAACTGTTGAGTGTGTCCTGCTTCAATGCCTTGTGGTGGGGTGTGGAAAGGATTCATGTAAAGTCAGTCACACGGCCATGTGTCCTACCTTCCTACCATCAGCACTTGCGTTATGGCTGATGTTCCCTCTTTCGGCGCGGTGAGACCATGGTGTGTGTACCCTGACCTGGAGGGTGACAAGGCCAGAGGACCCAGGCTGAGGACGCAGGGGACTCTGAGAGGAAGAACGGCACTTCAGTTTCTCTTTCTGCTTCTAACAACTTTGGCTCTCCACCTCCATCTCTAGGGTTTTTCAAGCATTAAAGAAAGTAATGAAATTGCTTTTTTGTAGGTCAAGAACATTCAAATATCAGCCATTTCCTAAGATTCACCCTAATACAAAGAAAGAGTTTGGAAACAATGCCTGAGAAATCATAAGCACTCAATGCTATTGTTATTATCATTCTCTGGTTCTGTGTCTACCTCTTTATACACACAGTGAATTATGTTTGTAAAATTAACACATGCTTTTTTTAAAGGAATTCAAACAATGTAGCAAAGAATAAAGCCAGCAAAATATTACTCCAAATCTCACCACCCAGCAATAATTATCATAACATTAGGCTAGCTAGATAAAATAATTTTATAGAATTAGAATCATATTGAAAATATTTTAAGTAAAAATGAATGAATTTTAGTTTATAGAACTTAATAATACAAAAATAATCAAGTACACAAAAGCCTCAGTTGACATGGAGAGTTTCTCAGAATTTGAGATAAAATACTTCATATAATTCTATATTGTTGTTAAATGCCATTGGGTAGGTTCCAATAGTGACTCCATGTACAACAGAACACAATACCTGAGCCTGCACCTTCTTCACAGCTGTTGCAGCCACTGTGTCAACCCATCTTGTTGAGGGTCATCCCTTTTTTTTAACATTTTTTTAAATTGTATTATTTTTACGTGATTTTACCAGATCTGACTGGTATAGGAGGAGATTGAACCTCCTTCTCCAGCAGAGCATCTGGTGGATTTGAACCATGTACCTCTGGGATTGCAGTGCAGCATCTTGCCACTAGGCCACCAGCGCTCCCTGGAGGATCATCCCTTTTCATCTCTGATCCTCAACATTACCAAGCATGATGTCTTTCTCCAGGGTCTGGCCCATTCTGATCACACATGCAAAGGGTTTGAAATGAAGTCTCACCATCCTTGCATTTGAGGAGCCTTCTGACCACCTCTTCTAAGACATATTTGGTGGTTCTGGCAGTACATGGTATTCTTCACCCACACCGTCATTCAAAGATGGCATTCTTTGATCTTCTTATGTCATTATGCAGCTTTGCTTTTTAGTTCTGTTTTTTTTCAATTTTATTTTATTTCCTTATTTTTTGTGTGTACCATCAAATCAGATCTGACTGATACAGGAGGAGATTGTTCCTCCTTCTCCAGCAGAGCATCTGGTGGATTTGAACCTTGTACCTCTGAGATTGCAGTGCAGCTTCTTGCCACTAGGCCACCAGAGCTCGCCTGTTTTTTAGGTTTTTTTGAAGTGAAAACTTTTATTATAGTTCAATGGTATATCAGACAAAGACGTGATGGCTAGAATTTCAGAAAACTTGAAAATTACAAAGGTGAAAAAAGAAGGCTCAGACATACTTAAACTAATAAATATAGGCAAGTTGTTAATCACTAAGGCATGATGTTTTTTATTATTGGTAGTATCTTAATAAAATTTTAAGAAATGAAGTATTCTTTTTTCCTTAAGAGAGCCTAAAATTAGGGCTCTTCACCCCAACATGACATTTTATTTTCTAGGGTCAATTACTCAAAATAATTTTTCAGTGGTAATTTATTAATTTATTATATACATTTTGAGATATATTTTTAAATTATTTTACAATGCATTAATTTTAGGGAGCTCTGGTGGCTTAGTGGCAAGAAGCTGCACTACAATCCCAAAGGCCACAAGCTACTTCACAGAGAAGGATGGGCAATCTCCTCATGTGATTAACTGCCTCTGAAAACCTGTCAGAAGGATCAGCTATGTAATCTATGTAAAATAAATTACATTTATTTTAATAAGTTTAATAATGTTTTTCTGAAAACAGAAAGAACAGAAACACACAACAATAAAGGACCCTAGAAACTTCCCTTACTTGACTGCCACCAAGACAAGACCACCACTGAGACGTCAGCCAGCCAGCCAGCCAACTACCAGAGAGGAAGAAGACTTTTTGTTGTGTGTTTATGTTCTTTTTCTCCCTCAAAAGTGGGGCCCTGAGCCTTAGACTAAGGATAAAGGTGGAGGCCGGCTGGAGGGTGTAACTTCAAAATCCTGTAGGGCCCTTGGTCCACAGGCCTTTGGGCCAAATTTATTAATTCTAGAAGAATATTGTTTTTTAAAAAATTTTATTATTTTGTGCGTGTACCGTCAAATCGGATCTGACTGGTACAGGAGGAGATTGCCCCTCCTTCTCCAGCAGAGCATCTGGTGGATTTGAACCGCATGCCTTTGCAGTGCAGCTTCTTGCCACTAGGCCACCAGAGCTCCCTTAGAAGAATATTTTTTTTAAAGACACAGCAATCATTTGTCCATTTGCTCGACTGAACAAGTTGGAGTTGCTGTGATGATGCTAAACACCATTCCATAGTCATGTCAAATACCATAATGGTTACCCATTATGTACAGTGGTTGGATGAGCTTCTAGATTGATTCATGTTGGGAAGCAGGAGTGGAATCCACTAGATGCTTCTGAAAACTCTACAGACTCTTTTATAAATGCACAGAAATGATGTTAATTATAGAACAGATTTCAGGTCTTTTGTGCAAAGCTTACTCTGAGTCATATTCTGCTCTACAACACATAACCACTGCTAAATGGGACTAGTGCTGTTATATCTGGAGAAACATTCTTCCACTTTGCACATCACTCTTTTGTCGATGTGCTGTATAAGGTAACCTGGGTTTTCTATGATACTGAACCTTGTGCCATGGGGCTATCAAATACCAAAATGGTTTCCTGTTGTGGACAGTGTTTGGTGGAGCTCCCAGTTATAAAACAGGTTGGGAAGCAACAGTGGCATCCACTCTTGCCTCTGGGAACTCTATGAATTTAGAGAAACAACGATTGCTATGGAAAAGCATTACGTCTTTTGTTCAGAGTCACTGAGTCAGCCTTGACTTGATAGTAATCAACAACAAACAACACAATGTATTTCTATTAATACCTAGTTCTCTCTCTAAACATTCAATTTCTAAAATTAGGACATGTTTCTTAATTCAGAACTGATGATTTTTTTTTCCACTTAGAGTAAAATCTTATTCTGCTGATTTATGGTTTGGGTTCAAAGTTTACCCTGGGCTTAATCTCTCCAAAATGTAGCTCCTGGGACTAGGTTGGGGAGAAGGTTGAGGAAGTGGGAACTGGGGATGAAGGGAGGTAGTGCATGTGGTTATTAAAGAACATGAAAGATCCTTGCATTGAAACTGCTCAGGAGCTTGATAGCGATGATGAAGATAGGAGCTGGTGTTGCAGCCTGCAGAGTCCCAGCTGAACATCCTGCATTCCTCTTAGATCCCCATTTCCCCCAGCTCCACGTTGTCACCTAGGCACATGGTGGTACCTCCCACTCTGGTCCAGATCCAAGCACCAACCAGCTGCTAGTACAAGCTTGACACCTTAGAAGCTCCAGACAGCTACTTCCTTCCTAGTAGCTTGACCATCACTCTACCCTGTTTTCTTTGCATAGGAGCCAACTGGAAGCTCTGGTGGCGTAGTCCATAAAGCATTGTGTTGCTAACCCAAAGGTCACACCTCTTTGGCAGTTTGAATCCATCAGTAGCCCTGAGGTGAGAAGGACAATCTCCTCTGGTGCAATTTACAGCCTCAGAAACTCCCTGCAGGGTCAGTTATGAGTAGGTTTATGGCTCAGGTCAGAGGCACCATAGCCCTCAAGGTGACATCTTTGCTTTTTAGCACTTTGTTTTATTTTGGTTGTATATGTTGTTTTTTAAAAAAAAAAACACCAAAAACACAACCAATTTTTTATTGACTTTTAAGTGAAGATTTTCAAAGGGAATTTATTTTTCATTCAGCTATCGATTTACATTTTGTTCCACAACATTAGTTTCAACATCTAGAACATAATAGAATTTTTCTGATTTCTTCTCTGTCATCTCTATATCTTTTCTCCTTTTTTTGGTGATGTTGTACTCTGATGGCCCTCTGCCTTTCTCTTCTATTTACTATTTTTTTTTTACTCCCATCTCCCTCTCTTCCTATCCCTTGCAACCATC